TCGACCATACCTCTGAAGCATGCACGGCAGAGGGCATGCCGGTTGCAGGCCATGACCATTGTGGGGCGTTCACCATCACAGTTAATTGCGCATTGGCTATAGTGCCCGTAGGCACAATGGGACATGATGCTTCTGGATGCAGAGGATGTTCACAATCCGGATACAAGTGGCATCCCTGCCAACAGCGGGCCCGAAAAATTATATGGTTGTAGTGATGTCGACAAAGTCGATGCTTTCCACAACCAAGTGTAACTGTGTCAGTGATCTCACAAAGGAGGGCACAAGGTGTTAGTGCAGCATGCGGGGGAATGAAGACTAAAGCAGGCACGGTGACAGACATGGAGGTAGGCACGGGGACAGACACAGAAACGGGGATGGAGACAGACACAGAAACAGGCATGGAGACAGGTGCGGAGGCAGGCACAGAGATAGGTGCAGAGGCGAGGACGGAAGTACAGGAGGTACCTATAGGGTCAGTAATCTGGAAGGAGACAGACATAGAAACAGGCACAGAGACAGATACGGAGGCAGGCACAGAGATAGGCGTAGAGGCGGGCATGGAAGTACACGAGGTACCCATAGGGTCAATGACCTGGAGCAGTTGCAGGTTAGGGTAATTACGCATGAGATCACAGATGGCACTAATAGTTTGCACCATAGCACCGCCATTCCATAATTCCCAAGAACCAGAGGCACGGACAAGAGCGGTGTAGTGGCCAGGAGTATGTAGAATATTGCCATATATGCCAAAATTTGTTGCGAAGACTTAGCCCGTCGCAAGCTTGAGCGGGACCCGCATGTCATACTCGATGACTTGTCTCCTGATCTTTTACCACCATGGACTGACTCCCTGGCAAGAATCTCGCCAAACGCCTCATGTTGACCATTTCTTCTATATCTGCCCGGCTTACCATAAATTGGTGGTTGATATAATTCTCACCCAAGATCTCATCTTCCTTTTCTCCTGTCGTTGTATCGGATTACGCCCTTGGAGTGATCCGTGGTGAGATCATCACCTTGCATTCCCTTTCATCTTTTCTGATGATCTCCTGCTGCAGCTTGTAAAGTAGCCAGTTCCTGATGCGCACCATCAGGGTCAGTTCCCGATGCGCACCATTTGGGGCAGCCCGCCCCTGGTGCCTCCCCAGTCACCGGGCCTCACACCATCACATTTTCTCCACCCCACCCGAGTTTTCTTCTGTTCCATCTCCTACCTATCCAAATCTTCCCCCTGTATTATCGCCTACAAGCCTGTCCATCATCCGATCTATAAGCACCCCTATCCCTTTCAGGCACATTCCAGCCACAAATCCATAGTGTGTATATACCCTCCGTTACACTATCGATCCCTTTCCCCCCCCACCCCCTTAGTGCGACAATCCAGGTTTTTCGAAACTTTTCAAAATTTTGAGTCCCAACCCCATCCCTGTTCCCCAAGTCCCATCCAAGCCAACACAGTCCATCCTAAGTTCCCCTCCTACCTACTATAATGCGCTACCTCAAACAGTCCCCCTGCTAAACATTCTATCGCACATAACCCCAAGTTAAGTCAATCTCCCCCACTCCACATGCTAACTATTGTACACAACGTTCCTAAGCCTATCCAAGCACCAAACTCTGTACACAATCTTCCTAAGCCTGTCCAGTCCGGATGCCCACCCAGAACATCCAGCCGCCCTAACCGCTATACTCCGAGGTCGGAAGGGAACTTCCGCAGTAGTGAGCCGAAGGCAAAACTGCCCGTCTGCGTGTCTTTCACCACCAAATGGGAGTATTCCCTCCCCGTCTTCCAAAATTCTGCAGCCTCACCCTCCGACTTCCACTTCTGTTTTCGCCAGTCCACTATCAGGGCCACTCTCAAATTTTCCATGACTCTGCTTCTCAACCCCACAAGTCTGACGCTCTTGCCTTGGTGGACACGTTCGTTACGCATAAGCCATATTCCCCAGAGCACTGCTCCCCTAACAACTTCTGCTGCATAGAGCCTCTGCTTATCTGTTCTTTCCAATGCCATCAGTGTTTACCCAATAGGAAAGGAATTGATGGGGGCCTGCACAAGCGGTGGAGCATGTGGGGGCTTAATTCGATACAACGCGCAAAACCTTACCAGCCCTTGACATATGAAAGAAACTCCTCGTAAGAGATGTACTCTGACTTCCCTGGAATTGGGTTTTTCTTATAGTGAAAATGCCATAAAACACGGACCAACATCCATAACACGAAGACCATAATCACCATCAAGAAAAAAAGGACATCATGATGTAGGATAGGGGTCAGTGCAGAACGCCTGCCCTCAGAACCACACGTGCCGGCCGCATCATCTTCCTCGGTAACTATCCACGGGGAGGGCGCTTTCATCACTGACTCCCACCATCGCCAGAAGCCCGCTATCACTGGGCAGTGCAAAAAAGGTGTGAAAGACACTCGATTTGGCTGCACCCCGGTGTCGAGGAGAGGCCCTCGCTGTGGCAGCTTCTGATTGCAAGCCACTGTGCTGTAGGGAGTGCTAAGTGATAAATGTGCCACGACAATCCGGCCTGCATCTGGTCGGGGAGGGACTTCAGGATTGCACATTGCTCCTTCCATCTTCGGTAAGTCCATGCGAGGGTCAATGCTGGCGGGATCCAATCACACTTAGCCCATCTGTCTCTCAATTCAACGGCAATATCCAACTTGGGGAGGATCGCCTCGTAAATTTTCGTCGTGGTGGGTTGTTGGAGGGGGATACTTCTGTTATTGAAGTTCTGAAGGGGGAGGGATCAGTCCTGGGGATGCATGACCAGCTGCTGTCAGGTCCTAGCCATGCAGAAGGGGAGGTACACGTCATCGCTCCACTTGCCCCCTTTCCAGACCGCTACCAATTCAACATCAGCAGCCTCCAGCTGACATCTACGGGGAAGGCCATCCTCCCCAGATCCCACCAAGGGCTGGCCCAACCCCTCATATCTGGAGGTCGCCTCCCATTCAGTAGCCATCACATTCCCTCCTGTACACCCCTTCCACCCTATAAACCAGCCGGGGGTGGGTTTCCTCCTTACGCCTCACCCATTCACCCAGTCTCCCACCCGGAACCCTCATCCCTTAACAGCTCCACCCACTCTAGCAGGATCGCCTCCCGCAACTCAGCAAGTCTGGTCCGGGGGTGTTATTGACTCGGTAGGCACCTCATCATGTCGTCGTCGGTCTCCACTCATTACTTTCCACATCCCACAGGTGCCCTATCTTGAAGACTCCCTGCTGCGCCCATTGCAGACCGAAAGCCCCCACCTTACACTGCCAGGGGAACGGGTCTCCCACCTTATCACATACAAACATTAGCTTTGGAAAACTGAACAACTTTGACCTCTGGGCCATTAACAACAACTTTTGTTTTTCATTTTTTTTTTAAATCGAAGACAAAGTCAGATTTGGAAAAAAGAAGAAGAAGGGGTTGTAGAGTGCGAAGAGCCCTACAACCCCATTTTTTTTTGTATTTTCTCATAATCTTCCCCCCCCCCCCCCCCCCAAAAAAAAACAGGGAGAGCACGCGGTCGCACCCGGCCAGCCCTCCGGTCACCCTCCAGTCACCAGGACCCCGCCCAGGTCATGACTGGTGGGGATACATTATTTCATGTCCGTGTCACCTACCACCACTATGTTCACCCGAAGCTCCGCCCTACTTCCTACACCTTCGGATTATGTTCTTACCCTATCCCATTTCTACTCACCTCAACCACCATTATGTTCACTCGAAGCTCCACCCTACCTCCTACACCTTCGGATTATGTTCTTACGCTATCCCATTTCTACACCAAAATTCTGCACACAATGTTAACTGTATACGCTCCTTCCCTTCTTGCCGGAGAGCAGCTGTTGGATCGTAGCTAAGAGGTGATCTTCTAATGGATGGCCGGAGTATGTGTGCGGCTGCCTCTCGTTACACTCCACTGACAGCCTTCTGTCCTTCGTGCGGTGGCGCATTTCATTCCAACCATAATCACTTGAGTGCACGATACTTCGTAGCCAAGTTGCGATGCGGCCATTCGTCTCCCCTTGCTTATGCAGACAACCGCCCGTCCTTCGCATTCGGACCTGTTTTATTCCCTCCTTACCCTCCCTGCTCGTGGGCGAGCTACAAGCCAATCGCCGAAGGTGTACCAAGTTGACGAGCTTGCAGTCATGTCGAGGCTTTTCCACGCTTGCCCATTGCTCGCTGCGTCGTCTTCCCTTCCGTTTGTGGTTTTCAAAATCTGCGGCAAGCGCGTTGCGGCGTCTTCAACACCGGGTGACCGAGAGAGGTCCAACTTCAAACCACCTCCGATTGCATATCAGTCGCAAAGTGTTGTCCTGAATGCCACCCAGTTTCACTGACATACTATCATAGAATGGCGTTTGCTGAATGCCAGGACTTTTCACAACAAAGCATGTATGATCACAACCAATCATCAGGAGCTCCCCACTCGGTCATTGCGAGGCAGAACTGTGCTGTGGTCAGAACTTCAGAAGTTGGGGGACCACAGCTCAAAGCAGGTGTCTGTTTGCTGCTTGACCAGCTCAGTCCATGTCTGATCTCAGGCTTCCACAGTGTGAGGTTGTGTCTGTTCCTCATGCTGACCATGGCTGATCTCAGTCTTCCACAGTGCGAAGTTGTGTCTCTCTTTCTCTTCCTCATGTTGGACGTTCTCGGGCTTCGCACTACCAGTCTCTTTCTCTTCCTCATGTTGGATGTTCTCGGACTTCGCACTACCACCGTTCACCTGTGGATGCATTGTTGGTGGATTGCTTGACGGGATTGCCGAGGGTGTGAAAGCCAGCCAGCATATTTTTTGTGCATGACATCAATCTCAACTGTTTGGTTTATGGCATCTCTCTGTTGCAAACCACTCAGGCTTGTGTGGCAATGGAAGGCGTCATGACTAATGTGTCCTTTACCAATGCAGCACCTGGTGGAAAACCGCTTCACTATCTCAACAAGATAGGATTCGGAAACGTGTCATCCTAACTTGATCTTGCGTATCAGGAATCAGAACCGTGCAGTGAGTTTTGGACCCCACATGCACTGCTGTTGACTGATTTGGCAGATGGCTGATGGTTTACGCAAACTAAACCCAGAAGTACTGTATGACAGTTACTTGATGACACAGCGATATGCAGCAGTGTGAACATCAGTGGAAAGGACAAAGGAAAAGACGGAAGAGCGAGAACAGGGAAGGGTACAGAGTGGATGGGAGGGTGAGGTAAGAAGTCCACTCACTCCCATTCTCACATTCAAATGGTAAACAAGTTGTATAAATAATAATTGATCATAAACCTCATGAAACGATCAGTAAAGATCTCTCCATCCAAATGCAAAATGAGAAAGTTGATTTACAACTTCACCATCACCCTGTCACTGCTGAAAGATACCATTGCTATGATCCTTGTTCAATTCATTGAGCAAGAAACATGAATTTGTTCTTGGAGTCCATTGCATTGGAAGATAACAGCTTCACCGCATTGGAAGATAACAACAATGACCATGACTACGATTATGATGACGATGAGGAGGAGGAGGAGGAAGAAGAAGAAGAAGAAGAAGATGGAGAAGGAGGAGGAGAAGCAGAAGAAGAGAGGAGGAAGAAGAAGAAGAAGATGGAGGAGGAGGAGGAGACGCAGAAGAAGAGGAGGAAGAAGAAGAAGAAGATGGAGGAGGAGGAGGAGAAGCAGGAGGAGGTGGAGAAGATGAAGAAGTCAGAGAAGAAGAAGAAGAAGAAGAAGAATAGTTGAAAAACAAAAACACAATTCTAAGCAACAAGAAGAAGAAGAAGAAGAAGAAGAAGAAGAAGAAAGGAAGAAGAGGAAGAAGAAGAAAGGAAGAAGGAAGAAGAAGAAGAAAGGAAGATGGAAGAAGAAGAAGGAAGAAGGAGAAGAAGAAGAAGGAAGAAGAAGAAGAAGAATAAAGGAAGAAGAGGAAGAAGAAGAAGAAGAAGAAGAAGAAGAAGAAGAAGAAGAAGAAGAAGAAGAAGAAGAAGAATTTCAGAGAGTGACTCCTCTCACTTAATTATCCGCCTTAATTGCAATGAAAATGGAAAGAATCAATGCATTATCTTTACAAAGAACCCATGGAAACTGGTGAGTCTCTCTCCTTGAAACCATTCATGTGAATCTTACAAGAACTCACTTTTCACGCAAGGATCTCTCCTACACCTCTCCACAACTCGTAGAGGTAAATTGCTAACACCCTCAAGCATCTGCTGTGTAGAAAAATCCAATCCTCAAGTGCCTGGTATCTGCATTGAGGGAGAAGCCTCCCTCCATATCCTTTCTCCTTCCAATTCGCTTTCCACGATGTCCGCTGTATGCCCAGGTGCTGATGATGTGCTTTCCTTGCTCGCACGTTCCCTCCACCAGGCCTCTCTCTCTCTCTCTCTCTTGGAGCATGGACGCATGCAGCGCCATTCCGCACCTGGCCTCCTTGCATAGCCAGGAGGTCATCCACCATAGTTGTCCACCTCCAAGTTCCTCCTCTACCTCATCCCTCCTCCACACTAGGCCACCGTCACTCGCAGCAGCCAGCCGCAATGAAGAGAAATGACGATATTGGATATCCCCCTTAGCGGCCGAGCTACTCTTATCGCTATAGAATCCCGGTTGGTACCTGGCCTCCCAGGACAGTTGGTCAGCCCCAAGGGTCAACAGCTGTGCAGCCTCCGTGGGAAAATGACGACCTTTCAGCTCAGACTGCCAAATACCCTCAGTACGGGATGAATCTACCTCCATACTTGTGTGGATTCATTCGCTACCGAACATATCTGTTCCAGGACAGGGCTGCCCGGCCCCTGTCCTAACTCCGATTTGCTGGAAAATACCTACAGGTCTCTACAAATTTACCGGTACGCCCCTATCCCATACCAAACCGGTTTATCGATTTGGACATCCATGGATGTCCAAATCGACCCCACCCAAACGTTTCAGCTGTTTGCAGTCTACTGACCTTTCTATTGCCCTTTTGAGGCTCAGGCCTACACGGAGTATATGCACACACATCACCCACCCTCAGAACTTCAAACCACCGGCGCCTACCGCGTTTTTAGCGCCCCTCTGTTTCAAAAGAATACAGACCCGTGCAGCAGGCCAATCCATCCACCGCGTTAACAGCCCAAAAATGTGGTAGCTACTGAGTGGTTTTCAAGAAATTGCAAACCCTACAGTACTGAGGAAACACAATTTTCTCGCTCCCAGGGAACAGATCTCATCATTTCTCAGTCAGTCTTTCAGAGCAGAAAGCCTCACGCTTGTCGATCTGAGACCTGTGGGTTACTGCACCACCTGCATTGTCGATCCGTTCTGCAACCGCATTTGCTGCTCGCGTCACCTTGAACCACAGGAGTCACTGCTCTATGAGACAGTCATAGTATATTTTAACAATTACTTCAAGTTCCTCCAGGCCTCAAGACCATGCAGAGCGTGCATACAAGACGACGATGAAAGGTGGATATAGAGAGCGAAGAAGAGCAAAGAAGCAAATCAGCAAAACAATGATCAATGATCCAAATGACAGACCGGAATCAATAATGACTATGATGACTATGACAATGATGACGATGACGATGACGACGACGACGACAACGATGATGATGATGATGATGATGATGATGATGATGATGATGCCGATGATAAAGATGAGGATGTGCATGCGAGGAGGAGAAGGGGGGAACGAAAAGTGGTAACAGTTGGAGCAGGGGATAGGAGATGCATAACCGCCGCCCGCTTTCCATGCTGCCACTGTCTCCACTGAACAGTGAAAACAGTGTTGCCGCACCTTTGAAAACTGCGACTTCAGCCAGGATGATAACGACAAACCGATGAACCTAGCAAGCTCATGGCACGGAGAAGCGGAACAGTGACCAATGCTGTCTGTATTCTGAACAAAATGCCAGGATTGGACAGGGATATAAGGAGGGGCGCACAAACCGAATGAAGTTCAAACTGCACGAGAGAGAACTGTTTGGTGCAGAGAATGAAAAAGACGCAAGGCTCCAGAAAGACTCTGTAGAATCTGTGAACTCTGGAAGTATCACAGGTCAGAATTGCGGCTGTTGGTTGTCCCCAACTTCCCAACGTGAGAAAGAAACATTTGCTCACTTTCAGGCAACTCAAACAGTGGCGTGGCCACGTTACACAGGCTATCAAAAATCGACAAACCTCAACCGAAATGCACAAAAGCACATCGTACAGACCACCCGATCGATCAACCAGTGTTTTGCTTTCTACTACCACTGTGGAAAGAAACCACCCCTGACTGCATATCAGTCACAACTTCTAAACAACGTGTTGTGTCCTGAATGCGAGACAGTTTCACAGACAATGTCATAGACTGGTGTTTGCTGAATGCCAGGCCTTTTCACGACATAGAATGTGACACAATGAATCAATAGTAGACATAGAATGTGACACAATGAATCAATAGTCAGGAGGTCACTAATTGATCATTGTGAGGCAGAAGAGCAGTAGGGTCAGATGAGACCACAGCTCGCAGCAAGAGTGCGGCGCTCAACGTCAGATGAGACCACAGCTCGCAGAAAGAGTGTAGCGCTCAACGTCAGATGGGACCACAGCTCACAGCAAGTCCGCATGGCCCAAGGACAGATGGGACCGCAGCTCACAGCAAGTGTGTAGGGCCCAAGGACAGATGGGACCACAGCTCACAGCAAGTGTCCAGGAGAACAGCTCCCTAGGTTGGATTCCATGTTCCAACCAACAACCCAATAGATACTAGGGTAAGCAGTGTGTGTAATCTGACTAAGCGTCCGTCCGAACCGTGCGTGCAAGATTTCCAAGCACATGGCTCTCCATCAGTTTGGCAAGACTTCCAAGGTCAGCTGGGAACACAGCTCACAGCAAGTGTGTAGGGCCCAGGGACAGATGGGACCACAGCTCACAGAAGTATGCAGGGACCAAGGTGAGATGGGAACACAGCTCACAGCAAGTGTGTAGGGCCCAGGGACAGATGGGATCACAGCAAGTGTGTACATCGATCATCATTGTGTTCTGGTTAGTGGCACTCCTCCATGCATTCGGCTGCCATTTTTCAAGAGGTAGAAGAGTGATTTGTTTATGAAAAGATGGTCCCTTTCTTCATGATCACCATACTGAGGAATTTGGTTATCATCGACCACAACCAGAAACCCACTGCGAACCGTATGGATGACCGGCTCTGACTTCTGACTCCTCAGCGACGATCTCGTGGTGTGCCGCACAAGCTCATTCTCATGAGGCTGGGATGATTCGTCAAATGATGAGCGGCTTGTTTGCACCATTTTCTCTGTGGTCGCCGGTTTTCTCTTTTTTCTGGACAACTTAGGATGCATATCGACGGAAAAAGTACGATTCCGGATTTTTCCTGTGGACAAGGAGTGTGTCAACGATCTCCCACGAGGAGCGGTGGAATCCCCAGAGTCAGAAGAGCTGTGGTGTTCAGGAGGACTTGCGCGATGAGGGGACACAGTTTGATCGGCGGAAAAGCGTTTTCCAGTGGAACGTCCGCGATGAGGGGACACAGGTTGATCGGCGGAAAGGCGTTTTCCAGTCAAACGTCCGCGATGAGGGGACACAAGTTGATCGGCGGAAAAGCGTTTTCCAGTGGAACGTCTTGTGTTTGGATTGTGGTGCTCAGCGGAACGTCTTGTGTTTGGATTGTGGTGCTCAATACGGATCACACGATCAGGGAGTGCAGGCTTCTCTGTGCCTGAATGCTCAGAGAAGGATGTGGACTGCCCATACCGATCAAATAGAACTTTCATTTCCAACTTCCGAAGCTTTTCCTCTGCAGTGTACATTCGCTGTTGGGATCGGTGCATGAAATTGTCCATTGTCTTCATCTCTCTGTTTATGTGTGCCAGTGATGACTCCACTGTGAGCACTCTACTATTCATTCCAGTGCTTAACCATTTCCTACTGTACGACGCCGTCTTTGGTTTCGTTGGTGCTCGGCGAGCCGCAGTTTTTTTCCTGTTCTTTTCGGACGCTTTTGCTGTTCTTGGTCGTCCTATTCGTCCTGTTGCCGCAGAGTTCACAGCACCCTGCTTTTTCTCACCGCCCAGCTTTATCTCTTCCTTGGCCGCATGTTTTTTTCCCCGGTTTTCCTTCCCAAGCTCCCTTGATCTCCTCCTTTCCACTGCAACTTTTGTCATCTGTTCTATGGTCTGGTTCTCCCTGTTGATGATATGCTCTGACACCAGAGGCTTGTAGGCACTCTCAAGCAAACTCCTCCTTTTCTCACGCTGTTCTTCGCGCTGCTGCTTTGGTGGCTTATTTTCATTTGGCAAGGATGGAATATCCATCACAACCCGGTTTTGCTTAATTGGGGGTTGAGAAGCCAAAAATGAGCCACAGTCAAATTGATGCCGGGTGGTGATGACCCTCCCACATAACAACTACGCAACTGCCCAAGTTCGTCCTTTTCACATATACTCCCCCCACTCCACCCCTGCCCCCCACCTTCCCCAGAAACAAAAAAAAAAACAATTGCAACAGCAGCAGTCTCAATGACCCAGCCAGCCAGCCAGCCAGCCAGTCGAAGGGGAAAGCAGGTTGCGAGAAAGAGTAAAGAACGGGAGAAGAGCAGGGAATCCAGCATGCCCACACCTTCTAGGGATGCAGAAAAGTTCTACCGAACCCTGCAGCTATTGAATCGTCAAATTTCAGGTCAGCGATTGGCGTTTTGTTTGGTGAAATATTACACCGGTTGAGCACACAGTTTCCATGTTTGGTAAAACGTTTCAAAACAGTCTTGGCGTCACTCCCAGGAACATGGCAGCATGTCGACGAATGCACGTTCTAGGTGTGGGTTGTGCGTCCCCCAAGCCTCGTCCTATTCCAGCGGTGAAGAGGTCGTGCTACCTTCTCTCCACCTGCACCAAAATGATTAAATTGAAGACTTGAAGTACTTTCCGATCACCCTGGGGAGCAGAGCCGCAATTGTGCCATAATGCAGCCATATTCTTCCAACCATTCAGCACTTTTCCGTGTAGGTTTGGCAGATGCAATGGTCCCACAAATTCACACCGCTTCTGACACCACAACCAGCCCACGATGCATCACACCAAGCTCCAAACACGAGGCGCAAACCAACACGAGATGAGAACACTTCAGACATTGCGTGGAAATTCAAATTCTTGCACAACAAAGTCTCATGTATACACACTTTGCCTCTCTCTCTCTCTCTCTCTCTCTCTCTCTCTCTCTCTCTCTCTCTCTCTCTCTCTCTCTCTCTCT